AAAAGAAGGTGTGTCTTATTTGTGGGGTGGGGTGGGGTGGAAGAGGCTGCCACGGTGAGTGAGGGAGTGGGGCAGGAGCAGGGGTGGGTTGTGCAGAGGCACAGGGGGAGGATGTGGCTGCCTGCAGCTGCGGGCACCCCTGGGGTTGGCATGGGGGCAGGTGCCCTCTGTGGGGCAGAGGCAGGCCTACCTAGGGCTCTGCATCCTACTGCCTTTGCCCTGGGAGCTCAGCCGCATGATGCCACTGTGCTTCATGCCACTGGGCAGGCAGGGGATGTGCCATGTAGCCAGCGTGCCTTGTGTCTGCTACCCACCCAACGGGCACCAATGGCATTGTATGGCTGAGCTCCCAGGTCAAAGGCAGCAATGCGCAGAGCCCCACCCCACAGTGGGCAGCCTGCTTCTGTCTCGTGGGGGGGCACCTGCCCCCCATGCCACCCTGGGGATGCCGGGGAGCCACGTCCCACCTGTGCCTCTGGACAACCCACCCCAGCCCCGGGGTCCCATTCACTCCTGCCCCTCTCCCTCCCTTATCGTGGGGGCCTCCATCTCCCCTCCCTCCCACCCCACTTACCAGCTGGGTGCTGTGTGTCTGCCCTTCACTCCCAAGCCCTACTGCTGCCTCTCACTCCTGACCCACAGTACCCCACATCACACCAGGGTGTGCAGTGACCCTCCCTCCACCGGCTCCAACCCCCCCCACACACCCACAGCCCCCCACACCATCACAAATAACCCTCCACAAACACTTCAAAAATAGCATCTCATGATATGCATGCCAATCTCTTGATTTTTTAAGAGTTTTCCCTCATGATTTTTGGCACAATGGGGCTGGCGATACTGGCTGCATCAGGCCTGAAGGTAATCTTGGGTTGAGGTAGATTAGGGTTGTATGGGATGGTTTGGATAGGAATGATCCTGCAGGGGGGAGGGGGCTGAACTACATGGCTTACAGCAGTCCCTTCCAACCCTACTTGTCTAGGACTCTGCTTCACAATATGTGACCCAGAGTCCTGGGCATGGTCCTGTCTCAGGCAGGGGGGTGGCCTAGGTCCCTGGTTCTCAACCATTTTTGCACCAGGACTTATCTATAAATACCCATGGCCAGTCCCGGCTCAGTGTCCCCCATTCCAGACCTACTGCCCCCAGCCCCGCCAGTGTGTGTGGTGCAGGGCGTGGGGGGGAGGGGCAAGCAGCCCCTCCCGAGCCGAAGCTGTGCCAGCATGCCAGAGACAAGACAACGCGAATGCCCCGCTAAGCAGGACAGCGAATGCACGGCCCAGGACGCTTGGCCACGCCCCCCACAGCAGAGACAGCGCCCCATCTAGGCCACGCCCTCTCCTCACTGTTAGTACGGCCCAGGGGACGCTCCGCTAGGCTCCCAGCCCAATGACAACCAGCCCAGCTGGAGGCTCGGTCTCGCCCCGCCCCCTGTCCAATGACAGCGAGCGCAGCGAGAAGCTCGGCCTCGTCCCTTGCCCAATGACAGCGACGGCAGAAGAGTGGGGCTCGGCCATACCCTCTGCCCAATGACGCCAGGCCACGTCCCTACCCAATGATAGCAGCCCGGGAGGGAGGCTCGGCCACGCCGCCTGCCCACTGATAACGAACCCCAAAGGAGGCCAGGCCTCGCCCCCAGCTCAATGACAGCTGCTCCGGTGGAGACTCGGCCACGCCCAGTGCCCAAATACCAAAGGGCTCTAAGGGACGCTAGGCCACGCCTCCTGCCCAATTCCAGCGCTTCGGGGTTTCTCGGCCCCGCCCATCACTCGCTTCATGCCCAATCAGAATCGAGAAAGGTCCTGACGCAACCGAAGCAGTTCAGCTCTTTCCGGGGACAAGGTCAACAGATCGCTCGGCTGCTTCGGCAGCCCGGGGGCGGGGCCCGAAGCGCCTCGGCCCTTTCCGGCGGCGCCTCCTGCGCTGGGCCATGCGTCTGCTCCTGCGGGCGCTCCGCGGGGCGCTAGGGCTGCGGCCGGCCGGGGCCGGTCTCGGAGGGAAGCAGCTCTGGCGGCCGCTGAGCGCCGCGCCCGACCTGACGGAGCTGTTCGCGGCGCCGGGGCTGCTGCGGCTGCTGGAGGCGCGGGCGGGCAACGGGGAGCTGGCGGCGCGGATACAGCGGCTGCGAGCCAAGGAGCAGGAGCTGCAGGAGACGCAGGAACTGGCGTGCTCAGGTGGGGACGCGCCCCTCCCCCCCCCCGCCGCTGGAGAGGCCCCGCCCCCTGACCAATGAGCGCGCGGTTAGGTCCACGTGCCTTTGGCGCCCGGGGGGGGGCGGGGAAAACCTGCTGCTGCCGAACCGCTTCGGCTGTTTCCGGACGTGAGGGTGTGGGACCCGAAGGGCTCGGAGCCTCCACAGTGACGTAGCAGCCGGGCGGTGGGGAAACCCCAGGCTGGAGGACCCGGGGCTTCTCCTCACCGCTTCTTTTTTTTCTCGTGCGGTTTTTTTTTTGTTGTTTTTTGACGCAGCTGGTGTAAAAAAATATAAATAAATCCCGTCCTCTGCTGCAAATGTAGGGTTGCCACAACTCTGAAACTATTCTAGATTTTTCCCCACCCTCCAACATGATATCGTCATTAATTGTGCTGGGGAACACAAACACAATGGCATGACACCGTGATGTTTCACCAATGAATGAACGTAGGTACAAATTACATGCATTTATTCTATTCGTTAATTTTCTTAAAATATCCTATTAAAATCTCCCGGATTGTTTTCAAGAGTCACTGCAAGCCAGATGCCTATTCCTGTAAGCTCCCAGCCACTCCGGGTGGGTTGGCAACCCTCTGTGTGCAGTTTGGTCTGCAATGCCGCAAACCACACTTGCGTCCGCATCTGCAGGCACCCTCTGGGTTTCTCTTGTGGATGGTGCTCGGGCCTTGCTGATGCTGCTTGCCCCACCCCGTCGCCCTTTAAAACAATTGCCAGCCACCCTGGGGTGCTGTGGTGCTGGGGTTGAAAATTGCTGGTCGAGGCAGTGGCTGTCGCCCTCATGTCTGCGTCACCCTCATCGCCGTACTTCCTGCTGATCTTCTCTGTGATCTGCCCAGGTTGTAACGAACCTCTCATCTGTCGCACTTAGCCTCTACACCACTTTTTCTCAACCTGTGGGTCATGACTCAAAAGTGGGTCGTGAGAACATATGAAAGGACTATGATCAAAGTTTAAAATATGGATTAACAAATGTTAAAATGGATAACATGGGAAATGATGGCTTTTCCTTCGCAGGCTGGCAGAGTTAGAGCCTTCAAGGGGCTGCTTGGGGATCCCCTGCACCCCACATACCCCAGGGGCAGAGGGGCAGAAGTGAGGGGCACTAGGTCAGGACTGGCCATTGATGTTTGGGTCCTGGTACAAAAAGGTTGAGAACCACTGCTGTACACCTAGGAAGTTGCTCAGGACAAATGTGACAACCTCCACAGACAGATAAGAGGTTCATTAGAACTGGGGTGGGACCAGAGAGAGCGACCAGCAGGCATGAGGGCGATGAGAGTGTTTTGGGGAGAAAGCTATGAACTTCTTCCTAGATGAAGAATGAGCACTATGGAGCCACGTACAGCTTTTTTTTTTTTTGATGATTTTAATGACTAAAACTGCAACTCAAGAAACTTTTATTTCAAGAAATCTCTGCAAAAAAATTCCTCAGAAGCACTAAAGCTATGCTGTCCTTGATGCGCCCCCAAGATGATAACTGGTAGAAGTTTTACCAGCACATGCTCCCCCAGGAAGGGCCTCCTTCTCTGCTGCCACTACTTTCACATGCAAGTGTTATTTGTGTGCATGTCCTTGGCCAGGGAGAGCAAGAAGTAAGAATTTGACCCCGCTATGTAATAGTAATTTTTCATCTTGTTTGCCATTTGTCATTCCTAGTTATTTTTCCTAATGAAAGCTTCTGGGTCCCTGGTGGGTATAATGTGGTGCTTTTTTCCTATCCAGATGGATATGCCATATTGAATAAATTAAATCCTGACAGACATTATTCAGATTCTTACTTCTTACATTTTTATTCATCTAGAAAGGTAATGAATGACACCTTTCTTATTTAATTGATTAAATGATTACTTTTTCTTGGATTTGTGTCGGATTTCATTTGAATGGACATTGGAATTTGATTAGAAATGCATACAATCAATATTATAATATTATAAACAATATTATATGCATGTCCTTAAAAATACCTGATAAATGAAATATATTAAACCCCATTTTGCATTTTAAACTTAATTGATTTGTTAAACAGAGGAAACTGGATTTGATAATGCTTTCTGTTCACAATGTTTATCAAGATTTTGCAACCAACAGAGTTCATCCTCTTCATATTTTTTTCGTCCTCATCCTTCCTTAGAAAATAAAACTAAGCTTTGTTGCTTTTTAGTTTCTAATCTGGTACCTAGCTTTGAGTGACCCAAGCATTAAATTTAGTTAATGAATAAGTAGGAATAAAGAAGATTTTTTTTTCTGTTTGTTAAAAAAGCTACTGCCAGCAAAAGCTGGTTTTAGCATTCCAGGAAGCTGGTTCTGAGTACTTAGAAGGCAGGGTATATTTGCCTAGACTAACCAAAGGGTGGTGTGGGGAGAGTGTGCTCACGCGCATCAGTTGCTGTGAAAGGGTGTGCAGAAAGCAGAGTGTAAGATGGAGAGAGAAACTAGAATGCAAAAGACAAGGGAGAGGGTGGGGGAAGGGGCAGCGCTAGGACAGGCAGTAGGAACAAAGGAGTCACAATTGTGATAAGAATCTGTAGTCCCTTCAACGGCAAACTTCTTCAAACTAATTTCAATGGAAAATTGCAGAACAAGAAATCATCCACAGACTGGATGTCTTAAGTATAGTTTAAACAGGGACTATGGATTCTTATCTCATTACCTGGATTAGTTTTTGTGATGTCTTTGTTCATACATCCGGGTTTTCTTGGACATGTCCCCTCTTTTGTCCCCTGTCCTCCATCTGTGCAGGTTTTTAAAATGCAAACAAATGTCCAGGTTTTTGCTCTGCTGCTTTTCCCTGGCACTACTGGCTTAGCTGCTTGAGGCTGGCAGCAGCAGGAAAGGGTGATTGGCTGTCAGGGATCATGTGCTCTGCGCATGGGTCTGGCAGCTGCCGGCAGATGAGACAGAGACAGCTGCGGGTTGGGAGCAAGTGGCACCAGCATAGTGGTTCAGGAGTGAGAGGCAGCAAGAGGGTTGGGGGCCC